GGCCCCCCCCCCCGGTTTTGGAAGGGAAAGTTCAAAAAAAACGAAAAAAAAAAACCTTTTTCCGGGGGGAAAAAAGGTTTAAAATTTTTGGTTTTGGCATTTTTTTTTTGGGGGAAAATTAAAATTTTGGGTTTGGGAAAGGGTTGGGGGGGGGGGGGGGGTTTTTTTTAGGGGCCCTTTTTTTTTTTTTGGGGGGGGGTTCCCTTTAAAACCCTTTTTTTTTTTTCGGAAAAGGGCACCGGATTTGTTTTGCCCCCAACGGGGGCCCGGACAGAGGTTCCCCCTTTTTTGCCTTGAAAAAAAAACCCGGGGTTTTTGGGTTCCTTTCCCGCTTTCCCTTTTAAAGGGGCCCGCAAAGCGGGGGTTTTTTTAAGTTTTAATTTTTTTTTAAAAAACTTTTTTCCTTTTACTTCAAAAAAAAAAGGGGGGAAGGGCTTTTGGGGGGGGGAAACCCCCCCCCCCCCCCCCCCCCCCCGAAAAAACCGCGTCGTCCCTCCTCCAAAAGGTTGGCTCTGCTCGGACATAGGCCGCCACTTCATACTGCTGTGTACACATGTAGGGACTCTAACAAACAAAATTCTCAATTCTACACCAACAGAAATGGATAGCGCGGCCTGGCTTCGGGTAGGGCTGCTACGACGATATGTAGCCCACACGGCCAGCGCACATGTTCGCTCACGAAACATTCCACATCGGTGCAAGACGCCAGGCTACCGCGGCTTTGTGCAAGGTTTAAAAGGTTTGGACTGTTCTCACGCACGCCTACATGGTTGTTGTCGTCGTTGTTATTTATTGCGGTTGCCTTCACATTAAACAAACAAACAAAACACCGTTCCGATTTCTCAATGCAGTACCTTCATCTGCCAGTACTGATAGAACACTTGACACGGTCGATTCCCGTGGTCACAGCCTAAAAAAAGGTGGTGGTAAACAAAGAAAACGTGTGTGTGTACGTACTGCTGTACTCACGAAAACTCGATATCGCTCCAAGACGCAAGGATAGCTCCGCCTGTCATGACCGCCAGGCTGAGGAGCACGAGTGGGGTGGCTATCTGGCTGTGCCAGAAGTAGTCTCCCGTAACAATGATGAGGTTTGTCAGGCTCTTGAACACCGTCACCTGGCGGGAACAGCAGCAATGGTGTAAAAAGAAAATTTCAGTATCAACAGCGGTAGGAACAGTACAGTGGCATGCCGGTCGACTCCAACTCTCATCCCATCCCATCGTACCTCATAGCAAATGCTGCGCTTTAACGTACCACACCTGAGAGACCAGGATCAACCATGAAGCATTTTGTCAAGGGGCAAAAGCATGATCGCTTGGCATACTGCTGCGTACCATACCACAACCGTACGCACACACAGTACGTAACAAATCCAGTCTCGTACCTACTTCCCGCGTACGAGACACGGTGGTCATCATCCCGCATCTTATCGAAACACAACGTGCCGGACAAGTCTTTCCCACCCGCCTCAATACAAACGAAACACGGCATGTCTTCAACCTACAACAGAGTGCGCGTTCGATCCCGATTTCAAAAGGCCCTTACCATCGGCACGCCCATGTACTGCATGGACAAGAAGGAAGAGAGGAGCATCGTGCAGAAGAAGATGGCGATGGGGAACCACCGCATCGCCGTCGCCATGTTGAACGGCTCGTACTGCACCAGCCCCTTCATCCGGGACGCCTCCACCAAGAGCACGGCGATGAAACACTGATAATACGGATACGTGTGCCGTTTCGGGATTTTGTTAGTTACGATTTTACCCGACCGGTTCGTCGAAACGCAACAATTGCGGTTGTTATCCGACGCGAGAGGGGCACGGAACGGGCACTCGAAAGTCAGGACAAGGGGCAGCACATTTGTGTCACGAGTAGCCGAGGGCTTAACCGCTGAAGTGACACCGGTGTATCTCACAATATCTGATTTTTGAGTGTCCCCGATTCCATCCCATAACTCACGACCAGAGGTAAAAGGGGGGGCGGGAAGAGGGCGGAACAGCGTTCCAGCACAAGCAGGCATGTGCTGGAACGCTGTTCTACAGGTATTGCGGGGTCCGGCACCGGCAGACTAACAGCGGGTTCTTCCTCGACAAGGGTCGGAACACCACCAACAACTGCAGTCAACCTGTTTGGTGCTAGGTCCCTACAAACAGCGGTTACACCGACAAAAACTGTGGTCGAGGCTATCGGTGGTGGCCTCTCTTGTACAAAGAGAGCGGTCGGCCATTATCGACAAAAAAACTGTACATAGTCAAGGCTATGATGGTTGTGGCCTGTACAACGAGCGGTCGGTCATATCAACTGCAGTCGAGCTGTTTGGTTGTGGTCTCTACAAAGAAGGGTCGTACGGACTGCTGAGCTCGAGTGTGTTTTTATTACTAGCATCGACCGCGCAAACCGGCTGACCCATAAAACGACGTCAGTCTCAGTGCGGTTGAAAACACAAAAGTACTCTAAGGCCATGATCTGGGTGGGCAAACAAAATAACCTGCATCAGTCATGCATGTACGTAGATTTGGAAGCTTCACCTGGAAGGCCATGGGCAGGAAGTGCAGCTTGGCATTAAATGACCCCGCCAGAAACTGTCGGCACGCGGAGACAGAGAAAGGAGCGGGCAAAGCCGGCGAAAGAGGAAACACGAGAAAACATTAAGAAAGCGACGTGTAATACCTCGCGGCAGCAGTAGTGCAACAGACGCAAAAATGTCGTGTACCTACCCGAAAACATGAGGCACTGCAGGACGGACGCAGAGGTCCTCTGGAAAATGTCCTTGGGCGCATGGTGACCGCTGGTGGAGGCATCACATGAGAACCAAAACACCGCAAGAATCAATGGGATATAGATGAGGCTACTTCTTGTTACTGCTGTGATACGGTACGTATTAAGATTACCATGGAAATGGACAATTGCATCTGACCTAATCCTGACCGTCCACATCTTCATTTAGGCCGGGACACTGCTGTGTGGGTAGCCTACGTAGCTTGTTACGCAAACATATTTGGACAAAGTATGGAATCAGCGGGATTTTGGGGGGGTATGGTAATGGTTAGCGCTACGGTCTACGTAACCCCTCTTTGCCTCTCTATTTCCACATGAAAGTATTTAATGACATCATTTTCTTCACGGGTGCAAATGACTGGCACAGATGGTGCTTGCACTTAGCAACTTAGTTAAGAAATGCAGTCTCAAAATTTCAAAATTTAAAAACTTGGCCATAAGAACACGCGCTCAGTTCCGACGTGCTGCTAAGAACAAGAACCCGCCTTGTGTGTGTGTGTTTGTGCGTGTTTTCTCCCATCATTGGACTCTGTCGTCTGCCCCTCTGGCCCCCATCCTCCACTTCTGCTATTTAGCTAGACGACCCAACCGGGGTCACATAGGAGGGGGGGGTTGGACCCCCTCCTGCGGTTCCTGCCTGAGATATTTTTATCGCGAGAAGGGTACAGCAATCCCATCCCTCGCGACTTATGAAGTCGATCTAGTTTACTCACAACGAGCTTTG